GTGCACCCTGAGAAGGGGGGAGTTTTGCCAGCCTTTCCAGAACTTGGGGCTGAAGCCCTGACTGCTGGCATCCTCCCCCCCAAGGGCTGAAGCCCTTTTCTCTGGCATCCCCAATGCTGGCTTCAGCCCTGTCCTCAGGCATCCTTCGCTGTGGGGCTGAAGTCTTTTGATGCTGCTGAGCTCAGTCCTGTTCCCAGGCTTCCCCTGCTGAGAAGGGGGGAGTTTTGCCAGCCTTTCCAGAACTTGGGGCTGAAGCCCTGACTGCTGGCATCCTCCCCCCCAAGGGCTGAAGCCCTTTTCTCTGGCATCCCCAATGCTGGCTTCAGCCCTGTCCTCAGGCATCCTTCGCTGTGGGGCTGAAGTCTTTTGATGCTGCTGAGCTCAGTCCTGTTCCCAGGCTTCCCCTGCTGCAGGCTGAAGCTCTTTCACCACTATGGGGCTGAATCCCCGTTCTTGGACAGCTTCCACCGCAGGGCTGAAGTCCTTTGGCCACTATGTGGTTCAGCCTCACTCTCAGGAAGCCCCTGCTCTGGGGCTGAAGCCCTTTCACCGCAACAAGGCTGAGCCGTTCCTGAGCAGACCCCCTCAATAGGCTCAGTCCCATTGGAGGATGGTCCCCACCATGTGACTGAAGCCCTGTTCTTGCATGATCCCACCACGCGGCTCAGCTCCATTCCTGGGCAGCAAGATGAGGACAAAGCAGGCACTTCTAATGAGCAGTAATCATTAATTGTAAGCATATATTTAAATGTTTTACCTATTATTAGTTATAATGTATATGTCTTCTAAAGGGTGCTCGGTCAACTTCATCTTATTTTGAACATTTGTAGTGCAAATTCGTGATGTGAGCAATGCACTGTCTACCTTGACATTGCATCAAGCTCATTGTGTTGATCGTCACCTTATGCCACTCCTGGAGATGGTGTTACTATATCAACAGAGGCTTTTATGCCAGCGAGTGCCCGATTTACTTGAAGACACTTCCATGGGTAGGTTGACATTTTGTCGACCTCATCTTATAGTGCAGACCAGGCTTTGTGTTTGAACAAGTGGGGGAAAACAGAACTCAAATATTAATGCGTGACCATGCATTCTTGTATATTGGTGAAAGATATCCTGCAATAAGGTATGTGAAGGATTCAAGAGGTAATGTCACAGGGAACCTAATGAGAGCTCATTTTGAATAGTTGGATAAATGAATTCAATGAGATCACGTTACCTACTTTTTTGGAAATTCAGGACATTGAAAGTAATGCCCATCATAAACACAAAATCTCTACAACTGAAAAAAATTCAATTCATACACTTTAAAAATTCACTGCACGGGTATTGGTTCACAGGAATTATTGAAATTGATTAGACTAAATTTCATTGTCTGATCATCATAAAATGGAAAGTGAATTAGGTTCTATTAGTAAAACAGTTTTTGTAGAGAGTTATATTCTGACACTGTCCCTCTAAAATGTCAAAACCTACGTTTTATGACTCTGCCAAAGCATAACATAGAAATGGTAAATATTTCCTCTCATTGCTTTTAAGTTTTCCCTTTTTAGACTGGGGTGACAAAAAGTTAAGACAACTCGTAGACTAGAACAAAAAAAAAAAATTTTCCCCACACTCGATTTTCTTATTGTGCCAGTGTCAGAAACGCTATTTACAAGCAGTTTAATGCTTAATTTATCTCATGCTAACTATCTGCAGATTTAATGCTAGTTTTCAAACATTAAACAGTTTATATATTCAAGGTAGGATTAATTATTCTAGTTCTCAAAAATGTAATATGAGTTTTAGAACCTAATGTGCTCAAAGTCTTTGAGCTCTGAAATTTATTAGGGGAACAGTTTTGTATTTAATTACCTCTCATTTAAAAAGTAATCATTTTAATTTACTTGCAGAAACACAGGACATTGTGCTCCATCAGCAGATAATGTTCTTCATTAAACAGAGTAGGAACTTTGTGCACTGGGGCAGCTGTGGTATTTCCATCTATGATGAAAATCAAGTATAAAACATTGAATAAAATGCTATTACTATACATGAAAGTAAATTGATTTTCCTAATTTTAGTTTGGATAATCTGTAATAAGGGACCAAAAGGATAAGATTACATTGATAAACTACTCTCATGAAAAGAAATTCAACATTAAGGTATATATGTGCATCTACTGTGGCTCATAGCATAACTGTATTGTAATACACCAGACACTTCAAATCAGTTTTTATGATTCTGCCATGCTGAATTAACAGTATGTGATAAGCAAAGGATAAAAGTCTCTCCTTCCTTTGTGTGGATATGGGAGCATCCACAGGTCCCACTGATGGCAGTTGAAATGGGGATATTCCACCTTTGAAATGCAGGCCCAATTTCCACAGAGGCTACTGTGCCCATGTCTACACTAGAACCTTATTCTGAAATACACCCCCCACATTTGAATGTATAAACACTACTAAGCCTGTTATTTTGAAATAATGGTCTACAGAATTCAAACTCTGTACTTCTTCTTTTCATGGGTAACACTAATTACAGAATAGTAGTTTCGAAATAATATTAATGTGGACACTGCTAATTCAATCTTCTTGCTTCCAGGGGCTCGAAGTCCGAGGTAGTGCATTCACATTAATGGAGTCTGTCTCAGACTAATTTCGATGCCTCCCCATAGTGAGGATGCGCTAGCTCAAATTTGTTAAATTGTGGATTCTTAAGTCAAATTTAGTAATTTCGCAAGTTTTCCAGTGTAGGTACAGCCTCTATCCACTTTCCCACGACAGTGGGAGAAGGTATAACAAGTGTCCAGTGTACTATCCCCTCTTAAACTCACTATTCAACATTAAGATACCTGCAATGTTAGGATCAGAGCTTGCACTGAAAATGGTAGTAGCTTTTAGTATCTCTGATAGCTTTGTTAAAGCTCTCTTTGACATAAGACCTGTGCAAACTCAGAACTTGCCCTTTTGTATACAACTACATTTAAACTCTCAGAAAAAAAAAGTTTCAAAAGGGCAGCCAGTTTGTCAAGAAGTTATTTCTTGAATGACTGCATTACCTTGGAATATGAGGATTACTTGAAAGCAAACTGTTAAACTATAAAGACTATGGGTAGAGGAAAAGTTAAAATAGATATAGTTTTGCTTCTATTAAATGCAGTAGTATTAATAGGTCTCACCTGTTAATATGTAAGTAAACTTGGCCTTAATGTTTACACACAGCAGTCCTTCTGGGAAGACTCTTCTCTAGTCATTGTATAGGACTAGGAATGTAATACTAAAATTATTTTAGTTATAAAAATGTGTGTAACAGCTAATCAAAGCAGTGAACTGTAGTTTCCAAACACGCAAAATGTAAGTTTCCAAGTTGTATATTTTTATAACTTCTCTCCACACATAACGGCTGTGTCTAGACTGGCAAGATTTTGCGCAAATACTTTCAACGGAAAATTTTTTCCATTAAAAGTATTTGCGCAAGAGAGCGTCTATACTGGCATGTGCCTTTGCGCAAAAGATTTTCTTTTGTGCAAAAGCATCCATGCCCAGTGTAGACGCTCTCTTGCGCAAGAAAGCTCCGATGGCCATTTTAGCCATCGGGCTTTCTTGAGCAAGATATTAACTTGTCTGTCTACACTGGCCCTCTTGCGCAAGAATACTTGTGCAAGAGGGCTTATCCTTGAGCGGGAGCGTCGGAGTATTTGCGCAAGAACCACTGATTTTGTACAGTACAAAGTCAGTGTTCTTGCGCAAATACTGTTGGCCAGTCTAGACAGGCAGCAAGATTTTGCACAAAAGCAGTCGCTTTTGTGCAAAATCTTCCCAGTCTAGACGCAGCCAACCAGTTTTTAATGATTTATGCTAAATGGGAAGTAATTTTCTCTTTCAGTCCTATCAAGTATTTAAAACTATATATATTTAATTAGAACTGTACAAGTAGATTACTCTGAGTATCTGACAGTTACACTGTAATATAGTTGGAGTAAATACAATGCAGTCAACTGTTACTCCAGTTTTACACTACTGCAAGTGCAAAATATCACCCAAGAACGAGTATCTGTAAGAGCTTTTACCATTTCACCATGAAATATTTCCAGAAAAATTCTCAGAGGAGTAGCTGTGTTAGTCTGTATCTGCAGAACAAATGAGGAGTCTTGTGGCACCTTTGAGACTAACAGATGTATTAGGGAATAGGTTTTCGTGGCTAAAATTCACCTTATCAGCTGATTTGGAGTGGAAGTTACAGAATCAGTATTTTATATATATATATAAATAAAGGAAGATATTGCTTGTGTTAATGAAGCTAATTAAGTCAGGGTGGATGTGGGTCATTCACCGCACTATTAATTTAGGATTGAATAAGAATCTTAACTGCATTACCAAGGCAATTTCCCCTCTCTGGATATTCACATCTCCAAACTCAATGCTCACAATTCCTGAAGTGGGTTTTACCCACCAAAACTTATGCCCTAATAAATCTGTTAGTCTCGAAAGTGCCACAGGACGACTCATTTTTCCAAAAAAGAGAGAACTTGAATCTTTAAACCTGTCTCTACCCACAAACAAATTTATAATCAAAGTCTCAGAATAAGAATTTTTATGCATGTTTTAAAAATTTATAAACACTAGCATTCTTTACTACTTTTTTCCATGAAATTAAGATAATACTGAATCTGAGTTGACTATCAAACACAAGTTTATGCTTTTCCTGCAAGATTAAGCAGAGTAAAAAGCTGTAATTTAAGCATGTCAAAAGAATAAATAAAAGAAGGCAGAATATTGCTGTTTTATATAAGTGCTGTGGTTTATTCCGATGTGAATGTTCCAATTTCATTTTACTAGCTGAAATTCTCTAGTCCTTATGGTCATTCTAAACAATACAGCAGAAAGAGGGTTAAAGTCACCTCCAGCACCATTCAAAATTATTTAGGGGAAAATGTAATCAAAGTGCATCACATAACCTTTACTGTAACTGCAATACTGACAACCATGGCACTTTATTATATTTTTCAAAATGGTGGGAGGCTTTTCCTGGAAGTAAATACTTTAAAAAAAAGTCTACTCTTGAGTCATTCATTAATATATGCATTATTAGAACATGCTCCTGAAAGTCAATCTTGATAAACATCTCAACACATTCACATTTCAAGTCTGAAATTTATTGGTATACTTTTGACTAAAGGATTTGTTTTCAAATTAAACAATTTAAATTGCATATTGAATTCTGAAATACCAACACCTTCTATAAATAACAGCTCAAAGTATTTGTTAAAATACAGAAAATATGCAATTTTCAATTTGCTTGAGAAACTCTTTTCAATACAGGTGACAGGAACTTGGTTTGCCAAAGACTTTTTTGTTTTCAATAAAGACTGCAATGTCTTTAGTTTCATTTACTTTTGCTGATAAAAATCTACCAATATAACTACAACCCCTCTTTATCTTGCCTCTAACCCTCCCCCGCCCCAAACCCCAAAGTTACTTTTCTAAAGGCTGTAGAAATGGTAAAGAAACATTACATTTTAACTGTATAAGCACAGAAACTTAAAGCTATAGACACTGTAGGTCAATTCAAATAGTATTCAAGTGTCCTATACAAGTGAATGAGACATGTTTGTTTCCGTTGCTCCATCAGACAATTCAAGAGTTAAGTTTGCATGATAGCAGCAATGTCGCTGTTTGCTGGTCCAATTAAGTGTTCGAAGTTGATTTTTTCCCATTTGGCCCACTGAAGTCCAATAATCAGAACAGTCAGTTCAAAATACAGAAATCAGAGCAAAGACTCCATATAACAATGCACAGGGATATGCTACTAGAAGCTGTTGTCCTTCCATTGCTAAGGCAGAAATGAAGATTTTGGAAGCAGAAAAACTGCACCATCCAATAATTCCAGCAGTAAGAATAATTCCCATCATCCCCCTGTAACATAAGAATAGATTAAAAAGTTGTGCATATGCTTAAATGTATGCAGAATTATATATATTTGCAAATTATAATATTCCAAAGGTTGCTTGTTTTTAAAATTAATACTGGATTTTGAGGGCTTTTAATAAAGTGTATGTGGAATGTAAGTAAATATAAAATATGTATTACTTATTCTAAGGTTTTAGAATGACTATTAAAAAACAAATGAAATTCTAACTATAAAAAGGTGTAGAAATGACTAAACTAAAAATGAGTTGTTTCTTTGTACTAGTGATGTAAAATCCTGTATTTGGCTAACCAGTTTAACATATCGTTTAACCAGTTAACTGATTAAAGGGGGCTGAGTGGGGTGCTTGGAAGATCTCCTTCCTCCCACCACAGGCAGGAGCTGCTCCTGCCACACCAGTTAACCTTAACAGCTAAGCCTCACCCAGTAAGGGTGAGAATTACCAGTTAAAAATTCACATCTCTACTTTTTACTTCTGTATATGTAGCTTTTTATAAGGAGTAATCAAGTTAGCAATTTTCTTTTATGCTGGGCATTTAGCTTAGTTTTCCAGACTCAACATTAATACTTAATCTATATTAAATCATTTTTGTTTTCTATATCCTGATATACAACTTGTTTATTTGTCAAATCACTCAAAAACATGAGAGAAATATACTATAATTTGAGTTTAAAGATAATTTAATAAGTGAAAATGGGAAGCGTGAATAAGTGCTCATGCTGTGTGTCAAATCCATTATTAATATAATATAAATTCCACATAACAGAACTTTCCTCCCAATGGAATACACAATATATGGAAGCAGGATTTTAGTATAAATAGTTATTATTGATACTTACTGCAAAGAAAATACAACAGCAAAACCGGAAAGCAGGATCATAGGAAGAAGACAGTATCCCAGGACACTAGCAACACAGCCAAACCAGAGCAGGCAAAACATTCCTAAACATCCAATCGCACTAATTCCATACACATACCCAAACTGAATTTTACCTGCCTAGAGACAAGAGGAGTAACATAAGTTAAACATGTTTTATCTTAAAGTTGACTAATTAATTGCATTTTATAAAAGAATGGAAATAGAAAAGTGTGGTAACCTTTGACTTAGGAATGAATCAGAAGTAGGATTTAGGAGATAAAAGATTAAAAGGATTAAGAACTAATTCCATACACATACCCAAACTGAATTTTACCTGCCTAGAGACAAGAGGAGTAACATAAGTTAAACATGTTTTATCTTAAAGTTGACTAATTAATTGCATTTTATAAAAGAATGGAAATAGAAAAGTGTGGTAACCTTTGACTTAGGAATGAATCAGAAGTAGGATTTAGGAGATAAAAGATTAAAAGGATTAAGAATGGTTTCCAACAAACAATACAAACAGTGCAATACTTGTATGCTGAAATGTCCAATAGGCATTTACCATACCAGTTTTCAGTTACAAAATGTGGTGCAAACTTAGTGTGCTTATTTAACATTTAGCTCTAATTGGGCTACACAAATCTTATGAACTTTGATAGATTTACTCAACTATATTTCAATTATACAGTAAACTGCCGATAATCTGGAATCTTGGTGGTGCCAATTTATTGGATATGCCAGACTATCAGGAGGTCCCACCTCTCCCTCCCCCTCCCCCTCCTCCTCTCCAGTGTTTTTAACCCTTTTTATTGTAGCACAAGCGCTGTCCTCGGTCTTAAAAAGTTTAAGAAACACTGGAGTAGACCATCAAAAATAGTGTCTTCTGACCAAGTATGAGCCTTAAACTGACTAATGTTACAAAATTAAAACAAATAGTAATGCAATTAAATAGATAAGTTTAAGTAGTCAAAACACTCTTGGTAATGACTAAAATGTTGATGAGCATGTCCAGGAGATGCTGGAAAATCCACAGGATAAAGTTATACCTCATGAACTGTCCATTACAGACAGAACGTGTTCCTCTCAATAATAAGGGCCCCATTTTCCTTAAGGAAGTACTTTATTAGCAAGAGATATCCTGGAGACTCGAGTATGACAAGACAGTGGTTGATATGTAGTGGCTATTTCATGTTCCAACTCTCTCCCTTCCCCCCCTCCATCCACAAAAGAAATTATACAGTAATTCAAGCTTTCAACGTTGAAATTGATTTTAAATACTGAAATTTACAATGATAAGGAAGTTGGCTTGTTCCTACTTTGCCATATACTAAATTTAAGCTTCAGAAAACTAAATATTGCTTTATACTTCACTGATAACCCTGATGAAAAGTATGGTTGTTTTCAACCCTATAGATAAAAGAATAACTTTAGGTCAAGCTTATTTCAATTAAGTTAATGGCAAAACACCTGTAGGTTTTGATAGGCACAGGCCAATTAGTAAATGTTAACAGTTTTGGACATTATTTTGCTAAATTTGCAGTAAATCATCTCTATAAATGCTGACATTAAAATTTATGTCTAATGTCAACCACAGCAATATAATTTTAAAAGTAACAGTGAGACTTATTAAGTTTTTTTCTTAAAAACAATCAGCTAAATACCACCAATACCAAACAAAGAATACTAGAATAACCCAAAGTAAAATTTCAATTAATCAGAAATTGGCATGATAGAAAAGTCTACTCAGTGTATAAATTGAAGAGCCAAAACCATGGATAAGGCAACCAAATTAAAACAGATTTGTGCAAATAAAACAATTCTAATCTATTAAAATTATGTTTCTTACAGCAAACAAGACATTTTAATTTGTACAAAGAGAAGAAATAGAAATATGATTAAAACTGAAGATTTAATTTTATAAAACCAAGGACAGGGAGTCATCTGATTCCCCCCTCACCCTCAAAATTATGAAAATGGTCCTCAGTCTTTGTGATAATAGAAGCCATATTCTACAAAAGAATGATGTGCAAAGAACCTACTACATAAAGGAACATGGCACATTACATACTGAGCTTGACAGGCCTGACCCAAAGCAGGGGGAGGACAACAGAAAGACTCAGGCCCCAAAACATGAGCTACAAATCCTTAGTAAAGACCAGTTTTGTGGCTTTCATGCCAGAGAGATCTTATGAGACCCCTCTCCTGACAAGGATAATTTTCAATGCTTTAACTAAGTTATACATTAATATTTTGCAATCTGTAGCTTACCAGCAATAACGTGGCTCCAAAGGCAAGACAGAAGACCATTGGTCCTGCCAAATCAGTCTCATTCATGATGCTGCCATCTGCTACTTTTAATGGGTGTAGTACTGTTAATGTCTTCTGCCAGATGTGGTCGAAATTGATCCCTAATTCTACAGGTTACATGAAAAGAATTATGCAGATGTTTCCCTTTTTATTTCTCTCCCCCCCCACATTTTTCACCCTTTTTCCTGCCTATTCACTTTCAAATCTGCTCCAGACTGAAGGTAAGAAGGTTATCAAGTGCCATTCCTCAGATGGCCAAAGAATATTACATCTCCCCTTTAGGGGGGGTGAGTGTACTTTCTCAACTACAGTTCTCAACTACTCAGAAGTGAGGGACTGCTAGTCTCTAAGGGTCCAAATTCTGCAATCTGTCAGACCAAGGACAGGACTGTTTCTAAGATTGACCCTCTGCATGGTACAGCTTTGATTTACCAACTCAAGGAGTGTGACACCATCTATCTACACAGATTAGAAAACAAACTTTGTGAATAGTTTAATATTAGAATATACATTGTTTGTTTCTATCATCATTAACAACAGGAAAGGTAATTTATCTTAATCTCTGACTGATAGAGAAGATGAAAAATCCAGTCATCGGTCCAAATATTCTCAATATCTATTAATTCTGGCATCTTGTATTCTGTGTAGGACATATCCTACATGTTTATTACTCCCTTCCTCAAATTATAATTTGAGTTCTAAACATCAAAATCACTTATTTATAATTAAAGGGGCATAATCAATTAAAAACTGCAACCATTTATTGTTGCAAATAACACCTATAATAATAGAGTAAAAGGAAAAAAACCATGCTTTTATTCCTGCATTTGATATAATGTCATGTACAGTCAATTTCTCATTTAATCTGCATGGTTCTCACAGACCAACATGGGAGAGGAATAAGAGAATCTGACATGTAAAGCTGTCATGCCTGGGGGGAAAAGAAAAGCAAGCATGACATCTGCAATTACTTTTAATTTTATTTTCAGTTAACAAGAAAGCACATTCCTTCCTTCTCAGCTTACCCCAAAGTTAGGGGTTATTTTAGAGATGAGTAGTAAAGAACAATTTTACCTTCTAATAAAGGTGGCTCATCCTCAAAAGTGCTTCCATAAAATGACTGTGCTGTAGTTGGAGTGTATGTTTGTGTTGGCTGGTAAATCTGCCCTGTGTAAGGCTGCGGTTGCTGCATCATCTCTGGAGGGACAAATCCACTTTGCTGAGAGTAGTCATAGCCACTGTATTGTCTGTAAACAACAATAAAATGTTATTGGCAGGCACAAGTTTTTTTTTTTTTTTTAAACCCTTTCCGTAGTCAGATAAGACACTTTTTGTGACAACTTAGTACATGCTGTACCTCCCTCAACTGGGACTCCCTGGTCCAGCAACATCCGTGGTCCAGCAGGACCACAGATGTTCCTGGACCAGAAAATCCAGGTATAGTGAGGTCTGGCTGCGGGCTCTGGCCCTGGTGACAGCCAGAAAGCTCCGGCCCCGGCTGTGCAGCTCCAGCCCTAGCCAGGCATCTCCAGCCCCAGTAGCAGACAGGAAGCGCCAGCCCCAGCAATGCATCTCCAGCCCCAGCTGTGCATCTCCAGCCCTGGCAGTGGACAGGGAGCTCCAGCCTCAGCCATGCATCTCCAGCCCCAGCAGCAGCGGGGCCAGCAGGGGCTAAAGAGGTCGAGCCGACGGAGTGACCAGGCAGCAGCAGGGCAGCTGGAACCCTAGGATGAGGGGAGAGAGCAGTGGTTTAGCATGGGCCAGGAGGGGAAAGACCTCCCCTGGTCCAGCAAATCCCCTCATTTGGGACCAATCAGGCCCCGAGGGTGCTGGACCAGGGAGGTCCAACCTGTATACAATATATCATCTTGTTAAGCTACTTGAAGTGAAGTTAATTGCTCCCCCCACCCTAAATATGTAGCTGCATAAATGCATTCACCCCAACTTACCACAAAGAGTAAAGTGTGACTTGAACAGTTGCATGGGTTTATGGACTCCATCAGATATCACAGAGTGATAAGAAAATTTAGAAGCTTACAAATAGTAGCATTTTCAGGCCAAAACCAAGCCAAACTCATTTAATCTGAATATAAGATTGGGCCTATAGAAAACTAGCAAAAAGCATCTCTGTCAATATAGCCCTTTCAGTTGTATATCTGACTCCTATAATTAAATAACAGAGCTCACTCTTGAAAAGAGATCCAAGGTCTTCATGTTGTTTGAGCTTCCTGTATGATATATTCACAGAGTTGAAAGACCGTTTAGTCAAATTCACTACCTTCTACCTTCCCATATAATAATTACATGAGACACGACTCTGCATACACGTGATGAGGATTATGACATTCAGAGATTAAGCACACATTGTGACATCTTCCACCATGACATGCTGCAGATGACAACCTTAGTAATATTTCAGTTTCCAACTCAAAATTTCCTCAGACTCTAATCACAGAAGACTAATTCAGTGTCAAGTTTGCTCTTTTAAATACATACTGTTTGAACTGTGTGCATGCATCCACACACTTCAAAACAAAACAATTTTAACATTTCACTATCTCACAGGTAGTCTGAAACTCATACTACAAAATTTCACCAGCAAAGAATCACTCCTGTGATACCTAATCACTTCTGAGAAACTCCTCTTATAACTGTTACATTATAATAGTTATGTTGTGTATCTAACAGTAATTCTTCAACAAATCTCTTTTCCCTACTTATTAGGTAAGTGTATGTAAATTGTATAAATTAACGCTAATAAATTCTTTCTGCACACCAGTGAAAGAAACTACAAAGATTGCACAAGACATTTAAGAAAAAATGAATAACTTCATAAAAGGTATTTTCCCTCTTTCCATCCTCTCAAAATCCACATGCAAAGGTATCCTATCCATGCAAATCTCCTTTTCCACCCGGTGCATCTCTGCAGCACTGTGATCTTCTGCACCCTCTTAAAAGTGCAACGATACATTTACTTCGCTTCCCTCTTCCTTTTCCCCACCCACATAAAAACTGCCCTTTCTAAGCCTACATGCCTTCTGACATAGATGAACAGGATTTGTTTGGGAAGAGTCAATGTGACATTTGTATGGAGAAATCATACCTCACGAATCTATTAGAATTTTTTGAAAGGAATCAATAAACATGTGGGCAAGGGTGATTTGGTGGATTTAGTCCACTTGGACTTGACAAAGTCCTTCACCAAAGACTCTTAAGCAAAATGGAATAAGAGGGAAAGTCCTCTCATGGATCAGTAACTGGTTAAATGACATGAAACAGAGAATAGAATAAATTAGCAATTTTAAGTATGGAGCAGGGATGTAAAATCTGATTAAACAGGGGTGGGTAGAGAAGAGGCACTCGAACCCGGCCAGAGTGGCTCCCCTTGCTGGCCACAGGCGGGCAGGAATCGCTAGCGCCTCTCCGTATGCTGCATGGGTAGGGGCTGCTCCAGCTTGGCTGCTTCCAGCCCTGTGTGGCCGCATGAGGCCGGAAGAGCTGATAGCCCTGCACGGGACCAGAAGAGCTGCTGCTGCTTCTTGGTTAGCCCTGTATAGAGGCCCAGTGAGGCTAGAGTAGCTCTCTGCACGTGGCAGGCCATGGACAAGAGGCTGCTTCCTGGGTACCAGTTAACCGTTGTAAGTGATTTGGAAAAAAGAGGCAAACTGTAAGATGGCATAGTTTACAGATGACACAAAATTATTCAAGATAGTTAAATTCAAGGCAGGCTATTAATAGTGACAAAGGGATCTCACAAAACTGGGTAAATGGACAACAAAATGGCTAATGAAATTCACTGTTGACAAAGGCACAGTGGAAAACATAATCCCAACTATCTATACAAAATAATGGCATTTAAATTAGCTCCCACCCTCGCCAAAAACAGATCTCAAGAGTTACTGTTGCTACATCACAGAATCATCTAATTCAGGGCTACTCAACACGCAGCCCGCGGCCCATTTGTTTGCTGCCCACAGTGTGGTTTAGGTTTACGCGGGGCTCAGCACGTGGCCTGTGGGTGGGAGCCAAACCAAAACGTAATCAATATAATGGTATTCTGTTGATGTACACTTTAGTAATTAAAATCCTGGACTGTCATTGCTCATTAAAAGTGCTGTCATATGGGTGGAAATAGGGTAAATATTGCATTTTATTAATATCAGCAGAACTGACTTAAATGGGGCCTGCGTGTTGTGTAGTCTTGCCTTAATCTTTGTATTCATGCCAATCTGTGTGAAAGAAGATATTTGCGTGTGCATATATATTTGTATATGCAACCACACTTAAGTTGTGGCCCTCAGCATGTGTTGTATCATTGTGGCCCCCAGGGCTTCCAAAATTAATTGTAAGACTAGAAGGGAATCTTGACAGGTTTCTAGTCCATTCCTCTGCACCTACTCTTAAAAATCTCCAATGATGGAAGTTCTACAACCTTCCTAAGCCCTTTATTCCAGTTCTTAACTATCCTAACAGGAAGTTTTTCCTAATTTTCAACTTAAAATGCTCTTGCCTGCAATTTAAGCCCATTGCTTCTTTGTCCTATCTTTAGAGATTAAGGAGAACACTTTTTCTCCCTGCTCCATTTAACAGCCTTTTATGTACTTGAAAATGATAACATCCCCCTTTAGTCTTTTTGTCTCCAGAGCAAACAGACCCAATTTTTAAAACCTTCCTTCATGGTTCATGTTTTCTAAGCCTTTTGTTGCTCTTCTCTGGACTTTCTCCAATTTATGTTTTCTGCAATGTGGAATCCAGAACTAGTTACAATTCTCCTCTTGAGAACTAACCAGTATGCACTAGAGCAGAAGAATTATTTCTTATGTCTTGCTTACAACACTTCTATTAATACAGCCAAGAACAATGTTGCTAGGGGTTTGGGTTTTTTTGCTGGTACATTGGTGACTCCTATTTAGTTTGTGATCCATTAAGATTCCTAGCTCCCTTTCTGCAATAGTCCTTCATAGGCAGTTATTTCCCATTTTTCATGTATGCAACTGATTGTTTCTTCCAAGGTGGGGTACTTTTGTATCTGTTCTTACTGAATTTCATCCTATTTACTTCAGGCCATTTATCCAGATCATTTTGAATTGTAATCCTATCTTTCAAAGCTCTTACAATTTCTTCCATCTTGGTATCATCTGCAAACTTTAACAATATTATCTAAGCCATTAGCTAAATCACTGACAAAGATATTGAATAGAATCGGACCCAGAACTAATTCCAGTGAGGACTCACTTGCTATGCCCTTCCAGCATGAGTGAGCCACTGATAACTACTTTCTGAGAATGGTTATCCAACCAGCTCTGCACCCACCTTATAGTTACCACATCTATGTTGTTGTCCCCTACTTTATGAGGTCATGCAAGACAATATGAAAAGTTTTACTAATGTCAAGGTATCTCACCTCTACCACTTTCCACCCTATTTGAAAATATTGCAGGGACAGTCAAAAAACCTAAGTGTTCCAAACCATTTGAAAAGGGAGCAATAATAGAAAATATCAGAATGCTACTATAGAAATCCATAGTACAGCCATATCTAAAAACAGTGTGCAGCTCTCGTTGCCCTCTCTGAAAAACATATATTAAAATTGGAAAAAATGCCGAGAATGATAACAAATGATTAAGGTTATGGAATAGCTTCCATGTGAGGAGAGATTTGTTTAACTTGGAAAAGATAAGATTAAGGGCAGGTATGTTAAGGGTCTCTAAAATCATATGAAGAAAGTGTGTAAAGAAGGCTTAGGTTATGTCTAGACTTCAGGCTTCTTTTGGAAGAAGCTCTTCCGGAAGAGATCTTCTGAAAAAACTTCTTCCGAAAGAGAGCATCCACACTGCCAAAGTGCATCGAAAAAGCGATCTGCTTTTTCAAAAGATAGCGTCCATTCAGTGTGGACGCTATCTTGCATTTAAGCTGTGATTATTATGGATGGAGTGGCCACCAGGGCACCTGTGTTTTTTCCTCTTCTTTCAAAAGAACTCCCTCTTCTGTCCACACACACATTTTTCCGGAAGAGCTCTTTCAGAAAAATGCTTTTTCCTCATAGAAAAAGGTTTACCAATGTTGGGAAAAAAACCTCTGTTCTTTCGATTTTTTTTCGAATGAACATGATTGCTGTGTGGGCGTAAGTGAAGTTTAAAAAAAAAAACCCTCTGTAGCATAGACATAGCCTCATTTACTCCTTCACATAATAAACGAACCAGAGTGATATCACCCTATGTAATTAATAGGTGGCACATTTAAAACAATAAGGAAGCATAGCACAGTAAACCTGTGGAATGGGAATGGATGATGTGATGGAATACCCAATAACTGCAGTTCTGTTCATTCTCTCCAAAGCACTGTCAGAAGACAAGAGATTGGGCTAGACAGACCAATGATCTAATCCATTACGGCTATTCATATCTAGGATAGTTTTGTTCTGTGTGCGGAAGTGTTAGTAATGTAAAGTAACGTAATCATATGCAGGATAAACAAACACTATACAAGTTAGAGAATGGAAAAAATATACAAATTACTTATCGTATTGTCCTCCGCTTCCACTGTAATCATAGGACTGTGTCTGGTCATCAATGCTGTAACTTGTTTGGTAGAAATCTGTATTGAAGTTGTCAAACCCAGACATTGCAAACTATCTGTAAAATAAAAACATCAAAGCTTGCATGTATCATAAATGTTTACTTTGACTACTGGCTGTCAAATAACTCTACTACACTGTTGACACGTTCAGGAACAAACTGAATATTTGCTAGAAAGCAGGAAAACTCAAGAACACTCAGCAAATGACTGTGATGCTTTAGAAGACTGAGTCTGCATCTCGCTGTGTGTGTAACGTTTTACAGCACCGTTAAGATCTCAAACCATGCAGATGCGATTGCCCACAGGACACGTTCGCGGCCCAGGAACCCCAGTCCCTATGGGCCCAACCCCAATTCCTGCGCTGTCTTGCAGTAACCTGCGGTCAATCATCTCACGCCTCAGTTTCCCCTCAGGAAAGAGGGGGGGTCAAGGGGGGGAAGAGGGGCGCAAGGGGCTCGAAGCAAACCCGGGGTCACCCGCTGTTGTGAAGCGCCCTAGGAGAACCCAGGGAGGCGGGGTGGGCAGCGGGCTAAGGGAAGGGTTCTCCGGTGGTAGCAGCAGGGAGCGGGTCTGCTCGGGGGGCGGCCCCGCGGAAGGACCGACGGCCCGTGGCTCTCCGCAGACTCACCTGGCAACCCCTCCTCGCAGCGCTGAGAGAACCCCCCTCCCCCGCCTGCCGCCCCTCACCCTCCTCCGGTGCGACGTGTCACAAAACACAACAACCCCTTCCGGATCAAGCGGAGCGGAGCATGCGCAGTGGCGGTTCCGGACCTCTCGGAGACCAGCGGGTTAGTGAGCAGGCGCCGTAACAACTCCCGGCGCCTCCCGGGTCCTCGGGCGGCTGAGCATGCGCGGTACAAAGGGGGGGAGGGGCTTGGCGAAGCGCGTTGTGGGAGAAGCGCGGGAACGGGGGAGGGCGGGAGTTGAGGTGGCGGGACGTTGGTCGCCCCTGGGTGGAAACAGTGAGAGGTCGGCAGAGAATGGGGGAGGGGCAGAGGCCCGACCGGCTCCAGAGCGCAAACCTCCCCTGCCCCGACAGACAGAGCCGCGGGGCCGAGCTCACTGGCAGGGCGAATCGGCCCCACGCCCTTTCCATCCCTCCCGGCTGCGTCCGGCCCCCTCCTTTCCCAGCTCTGGCCTGGCTGGAGCCTGTTGTAGCCGTGGGAGCGAGCGCACTGTCCCTCAGGCCCGGTGCTCGCCCTCCCCTCATCTCCTATAGCGGGGTGCAGGGCCGGACCCATTCTGGCACCCCGGGCAGACAGTTTAATTGCACCCTGGGTTAGGGGAGGGCACATGCGTGGCCCCACTCGGAGCTGGCGGCGGCAGGACGCACATGCCCGGCCACCGCCGCTGGCGCACAGCCTCGGGCTGCCCGGGGTGGGCCGAGCCTGGCCGTGCACTGCCCCGCAGCCGCGGGGTGGAAAGGGCGCTGCTGGTTGGCGCTGTGGGGGTTAACGTGGCCCTTGCCATGGGTGGCTACTGGGAGCTGTTGCAGGGTGGCCCATGCCTTAATCCGGCCCTGGCGGGGGTGAAATGGGAAGGAAGCGTCCAGCACAAACCGGAGCTCTGCCTCACTGTATTAAAATCTACCTGCAAATGGGCCGGGGATCACCTCTGTGAGAGAAGCGATTGCCAGGGGGATAGTGGGGCATCAATAAGGCTACATGCTTTTCTACTGATTATTCCTGGGGGAATTCTGTCCCCAAAAATTGTAATTTCTGTGTACAGTATTTCAAAATTCTGCAAATATTATTTGTCAAAATAACACTATTTAGTCATGCTAGCTTCAATTATTTTGGTAATGTATTTCAAAATGCTTATTTGCAAGCACAGACTAAACCTCTCTAGTCTGGCACTTTGTGGTCCAGCAACATCTGTGGTCGGACATGATTGTAGTTAGCTTGGATGTCCACTCACTGTGGGTGTGCCCCAGTTTCACATGGTCCTATAAAGTTTGTTTGCAGCCACCTGTCCTGACTTTCAGTGTTATGTGCTTTTATTTAGCTCTAATTTACTCCTACATTTCTTTTAAGAGTCCAGTCGGTAGTGGAAGTGTTGGTAAAGCTGCTAGCCAATATTGACATTCCGTGATTTGGCAAATTCTCTGTTTTGGTACTGGTTCTGGTTTGGTTTGGTTTGGTTCCATTCCACCTGAATGTCCGTAATGTTACAAACGTGCAAAAGTTCTCCCAGGACTAGAGTTGAACTCCTACGACAGCACATTTCCTGTTTCTGTGTCCCTACAAATCCCTGAGTCCACCTCCCTCCCAGCCACTACATCGGAACTCTATTCCTACCAGAGCTCAGCTAGGGCATGTTTACACTGTAGCATTATTTTGAAATAACAAGGTGAGCTACACAGCAAGCTCTTTATTTTGAAATAAATTACGGGCTTCTTACTCCGAAATCCATAACCCTCATTTAATG